GTGAGGAGGGAAGATCGAGCTGTGGGTGTGCCTCATGTTGCATCGCGGGGGATGGAGCTGCGGATGTGCCTCGTGTTGTGACGCGGGCGACGAACGTATCCATATCCATGCCCTCGGGTTCTGGATTCCGGGGCGCGAGACCATGGTTACGCCGACGCGATCGCATGGATGCGTCTGCGCAGGGCTCCCGCACAGGGTGCGGGGCTGCCCCGCGTACCCACGGGGCCGCGGCCGAGGAGTCTGGCCGGCGAGGCCGTGGATGTGGGCACGTATGCCGCCCGCGGCCGCAGTCTCGGGCATGCGCCGGGCCCTTGGCATCGCTCGGACGTGTGCATTTTTTCCTCCGGCGGGGACCTTCGAGGAGCATCCTTGATCATTTCGCGAAAAACACACGCACGAAACCAAACAAAACACAGGGAATGGATGTCCGAGCGATGCCCAGGGCCTGGGGGAGGGAGTCGCGCCGGGCGTGCAGCCTGGAGGGGGCACTTCGGGTCGCTCCGTGCTTCGCGCGGTGGTCTGCGGGCAGCCGCGGCAGCCGCGGCCCCCCTCGGATACAGGCCTCCTGGCCTCGTGCCCACCGCAGTGGTGGCCCGTCGCTCGTCCGCAGGGCTTCTCTCTGACGGGCGCAGATGCCCGCCTGGGGGGGGATCGAGCTTGGTGGGGCGGGGTGCGGATGAATGGCGGCTTGTGGATGGCGTTCGGTCGATGAGTCGGCGGCGAGCGAGGGGGGGAAGTTTCGGGTTCGAGGTTCGGGGTTTGAGGTTTTCAAACGTTTTCGTCGGTTCTCGGCGGCCTTCCAGCCTTGGAATGCTTGCCAGCAGCTGCGCCTCGCCGAGGGCATTCCGGGGGTGCTGGGATCGTCCCGAACGGCTGCTGGAGACCCGAGTTATGGTCAAACAGCCAGAAGGGGTTTTCGTGCTGGGGGATGGCTTAGAAAACTTCTCAGAAGGGCGGGGGACTTCCCAGGCCTCTCAGAAGGCCCGCCCCCTCTCACGTCCCTCCCCCGGGCTGGCCATCGCACGAGGTATCTCAGAAAGGACCTCTCCTTCGAGGATCGCCGGAGTTGCCCTCTCTTCCCGGGCGGCAATGCGGCGGAGGGTCGGCGGAAGCCGGCGGGAGTAGAACGAGAGCGGCTCCACAGGCGGAAGCCAGCGGAAGGCCGGCGGAAGCCTGGCGGAAGCAAAAGATGCGACCCGAAGAGAGCACAAAACATTTTCGGGTTCGGGGCTGCCCCGGACCGGTCACATCGTGAGTCTAGGCCTCCCAGGTGGGGTCCGAGTAGATGGGGTCGGAGGATCGCGCCACATCGCCGATGCATCGCCGATGCGGCTCGATGCGGAGCCCGATGCTCTCCACGCGGACGTCGCCGATGCATCGCCGACGTCGCCGATGCATCGCCAGTGCATCGCCGATGCATCGCCGATGTATCGCCGATGCGGCGCGATCCTCCGACCCTATCTACTCCGACCCCATCTAGGAGGCCTCTAGTGAGAGCATCGTATGCCCTCGTAGTTCCGTCGCAAGGGTGAGTGCGCTAGCGTCGAGGCGCTTCTGGTAATCGACGGGATGGCGCCAATGTGTCGTCGATCAGCGTCGATGTGGCGTCGATGTGGCGTCGATCGGCGTCGGTGTACGAAGAGCCGACAGGGTGGTGTGGGAGACTCCCTGGAGCCGCCACAGACGCTGACAGGTGGACGGCGGCTGGATGCGGCAGGGCAGGGGGTGCGGGCGGCTCGGGGCACACCCGTCTCTCGGCGGCGAGGGGCGGGGAGGAGAACGGGAGGGGGGAGGCCCTCTCCGAAGGCGGCGGGACTCCTCAGAGGCCCTCGCGCCCCCTGAGAGGCTCGTCTCAGTGTCCTCGGGGAGGGCCCAGGAAACTTCTCAGAAGCTCCTCCTGCTCCTCCTCCTCCTCCTCCTCCTCCCTCCTCCTCCTCCTCTCCTCCTCTCTCCTCCTCCTCCCCCTCCCCCTCCTCCTCCCCCTCTCCCTCCCCTCCTCCCCCCTCCTCCTCCCCCTCCTCCTCCTCCTCCTCCTCCTCCTCCTCCTCGTCATCCTCCTCCTCATCCTGCTCCCCGGGGGCTTCCGAACCTTCTGAGAAGGCCTCTAGGCCTCCTAGATGTGGTTGTAGTAGATGGGATCGGAGGATCTCGCCGCATCGCCGATGCATCGGCGATATGGCTCGATGTGGAGCCCGATTTGCTTCACGTCGACGTCGCCGATGCATCGCCGACGTCGACGATGCATCGCCAGAGCATCGCCGATGCATCGCAGACACATCGCCGATGCACCGTCTATCGGCGATGCGCTGCGATCCTCCGACCCCATTCACTCCGACCACATCTAGGAGGTTTTTTCGCCATCGTTGCTTCTCGTTTCGCTCATCCCTGATCGGCCAAGTGGCGACGGCCTTTGAGCCGCAGGGGTAGCGGCCTCGTTGGATCACCCGCCCGAGGCCCCCTGGGAACCCGCGGGCCACTAGAGGTCTCCTAGGAGGCCTCCAAGGCCTCCTCCTTCTCGGCTCCCCCCCCTCCCGCTCGCCGTGGCATTGGGCAGGCAGCGCTGCTCACGGCCGGAGTCGACCCGGCCCGACCCTCGAGTCGGACACGTCACTCTACATGAGGCATAGTCAAGAATGGTCGCAAAAGCAGTCTTGGTGACGAATTGTGAGCGTTTTTGCAGTTTCATTCTTTTGCTGATCGGCGCGGGCCCTCGCACCCCCCCTTTTCCCCCCCCTGGAGTAGATCTTGGCTGTTTTTTGGTGCCTGTTTCGAGCAGGCCCCAATAAGACACACTGTCGCAAACAATCGCAATAAGCAGAGGTCCGGAGCCACACCCCCCCCCTCCCCCCCCTTCTTCGCTCAATGTCAAAACGCCGAATAAAGAAACGCTCACGAGGCATAGTCAAGAATCGTCACAAACACAGTCTGGTGACAACTTGTCGTGTTTTTGTAGTGGCTATGTTTGATTGTGTTTCGACATGTTTTTTTGTCCCTCCATAATCCGCCTGTAGGAGGACACCCGACCCAACCCTATCCCCAAGCTTCGATTCCAATCTCGACCCGGCCCGATCCGACACGGGCCGCTGCCCCCTCTGGCCCGCGGGGGCCCAGCCCAACCTCCGATCTCCCGCACCGAGGGAAGAAACGCGGGGACCCACGGCCAGGGTTTCGCGGGGTGCTGTCGATGCCGGTCCTGGTCATGGCCCATGTTGGCCGTGGTCGATGCTCGAGGATGATCCGCGTTGTAGCGCTGGCCAAGATCAGGGGAACGGAACGAAGAATGACATAAACATGCACAGCTCGGAGGTCCGCGCGGATTCCTCGGATCGGCGCTGGACCCCCCTCTCTGGCGCGCGGAGCGCGCCAGGGGCGGCGCCGGAGGCGCCGCCAGGGGGGCCCAGCGCCGATCTGAGAAATCCTCGCGGACCTCCGAAATTTATGTATATATGGTTCTTCGTTCCCCTAGAGATGGACGGTGGCCAAGGTCGACACGACGCTTCCGCGTTCAGTCCTGGAGTCTTGGTCCCCGTTGTCTCTCCCCCCACAACATTCGGGCCGGACGAAAGGGGTGGATTGGGAAAGGGGGGGGTACGAAATCTACTGCATGCAGCTGGTGTCGGCCCCACCGAGGGGCCCATTCCTGGATACATAGCCGCCTCCGGCGCCGGGAGGCGCCGGGAAAATCAGCTACGTGAGCTGATTCTCACCCCCCCCCTTTGCTATCCCCCCCTTTCGCCCGACCCGAAACATGAGCCGATCTGATTCGATTCCGTGCCGATTCGGGCGCGACCCGACTCGTTGCCGCTCCGATCCGGTACCGCAGGCGCTCCGGCCCGGGCCTGGCAGGCTGTGCGGGCGGGTCGGGGCGCACACGGCGAGGTGGTGTCTTCTCCATGCTTCCAGGTTTGGGCCGCGAGCCGGCTCAACGGATCGCAGGCCTATCGTTAAGTCGGGCCTGTCCCTCTACAGGGGGAATATGCAAAAATAGTCCAAGAATGGTCTGGGGACTCTCTTTTTTTATTTAGTATGTTTGGGAATCTAGTGGGGCATTTTGGGGGTATTTTTTGCGGGGGGGGGGTATTTTCAATTTTTCGCCCAAAATACCCCTGTAGGGGGACAGGCCCGACTTGAGTCTATCGTGGCTCTGAACATCCAGCGGGTCGGATCGGAGTTCCGCGAGCAGAGTAGGATGAGCGCGGGGGATGGAGGGTGAGGAGATAGGGAGGGGTTACGATGGAAGCCGCTTGCAGATCGCGGTGGCACACCGTTTATGCCTGACGATTCTGTTTGCTGGGGAGCGTGGCCACAGCATTCGGTCCGGGGTGCATTGGCATCCCTGAAGCCCTGCACCGACCTGCGGGGATTTCCCACGGAGTGTCGGGAAGTTCCGGGGGGATTCCGACAATGAACCGATTGAGATCGGGAGGATGAGTCTAGGAGGAGTGAGGAGGAGAGGGAGGAGGAGGCGGAGGAGGTGGAGCTTCTTATTTGACTATTCGTACCATGATTCGTATACTTATTATTATTACTCTTGGGACGTAAGCTTAGCTGTTATCACTACTAGGATTGTTAGTATATGGATCCCCCTCCCTCTCCACATACGCCATAGGAATACTCTCTCTTTCCTGACAACGCGCTCACGGGATGTCACTGGCTGGATTTCCTTATGCTTTGTTGCGATCCCCTTGGTCGCCTGCTCCTCACGCTCCTTCCGCTCCAGTTCCTGCTGCTGCTGCTGCTCGCCCTTGCCCTCCTCTTGCCGCGGCCTACTCTTCCTCCTTGCTCGTTCTCCTGGCCACCCGCCACCACATCCTCCTGAGCACGCAGCTCCCCTCTTCCCGATTCCAGAGCACGTCTTTTTTTGGGAGTTCCAGGTCGACACTGATACGCGTCCGCGGATATAGCAAATTACCGCAACGGGAAGGTACAGTCAACCATGATAGCAAGGATGGGCAACCTTACCAAGGCTACCCCTGCATCTTCGCCCCTTCGGCCCAGCC